AGGCGCCGCTTCAACTCTTGCTCTTCTATATTTAATAATTGATCATAAAATGTTTTTTCTTTCCCAGAATCCATTGTATACTCTATTCCCTCGGTGCCGAAGTCCGTTCGAAGTTGAGCTTTATAGTATAGCTCTATTTTTTTCTACAACCAGCAAATAACTCACCTCTACTTCTCCTATATACGATATTGTTAGTGGTTTAGCATATCCTTGATAAGAAAAGACATGTGACTTATCTTGGGATTACAAAGTTCTTTTTTTTCGCAATTAATTCTTTTCACCTATAGATGAGAACTCTGTAAAAGTCTTGCTGTACTGCATAATTAGCTGGCATGCATCAGCTCTGATCAGACTTGATATTTGTGCATATATCATGAGACTTTAGGAGAAGATTTCACATTTCTTTTCTTTTTAGCCCGTCGATTTTTGGAGAACCCAAAATACTATGCTGATAAAGCTACATGCAGCAAATTTCTGATTTATGCTTTCCTAGAGAACCCACTTTTTTATAGTTCATTAAAACTTCTACCTTACAAAGGGTTCAATCTCCTAACAATTAATATTGCATAAATGATTAACAATTTTCTTGTCGCTCACCACGGATGAGTGCCCAATCACTGAGGTAAGAGAATAAAGGAAGATCTAAGTCCAATTGTAAATAATATAATATAATGTATAACGAATGAGAATATCTAAACTAGCTGAATTATTTGAATCACGGATTTCAAACTGTTTAGAATAGTTAATATTACATTTATAAAATGAATAACAAGAATTCATCTTGCTCATCTTGATGTTCACATGTTGTAATGTAATTCTTCTCGCAGAAACTCCTCGCACGCAAAGCCGATGTTCACGCAACGAACGAACATGGGATGACTCCATTGCATTACGCCTGTTATTGGGGATACGAACAAATAGCAGAGGTCAGGATAGGGTTCACTATACCAAGAAGCAGAGATAAAAAACTGTTTCCAGGACTTGATAATCTCTGGGGCACAGATTGGTGCATGTAACAAGAGAGGTCAAACTCCTATGGATGTCTGTCAGGGTCCATGTCGACAAGCCATTGCTGGTTTGTTCTTTTATTAAATGCTTAGGCGAATCCATTTCCTAATAAGAGACCCGTTCCAGAAATAGCCATGGAGAATGGTCAGAATCCAAACGAACGAATACCTTTCAAGGATCAGACATGGAAGGGTACAAAGTCTCGTACTCGTGATGCGACTCTATCTAGATATACCGGAGTAGACGTTTCTTCACTCAATCTAATTACTAAGGTATTCGAGTTTTTATCCTTATGTGGTTTTTATAATATCAACGAGGCCGCATCACACCGTCTCTTATCACTTTCTTTCATTATCGAGATTTTTGAAAACGCTGCTTCATATGCGAAGATTGAACATGCACAGATATCCTGAGATCACTTCAGTAAACACATTTATCCATAGCAAATTGTTCCTCTAAAGTCTTTTTTGTTACAAGTGTTTGGAATCTGTACTATTTCATCAACACTTCCACCAGTATTTTTTTCACCGGGGTTTTTTTTTTAGTGATCTGGTAAGTATGTCAGCATTGCACAAAGGCAAATTTCAAAAAATAAGCATTCTCCATATGGCAGGAGAACTTACAGATCTCAGTTGATTTGGAACTTGAAATTGACAGCGTAGTTTTGCATCCCAGCACTCATTAGAAGAAAATATCGGAAAGTTGCAAAGTTGTCGTTAGAGTAAAAATTAGGTTAGCGAAAATTTTGATGTGTCAACACTTTAACCATCAATGACAATCCTACCTTGGTACATATCCCGATCAGTCGGGAGCTTATTTGCCCGTGACAAAATTCTGAAAGCTCTTTCTCCTACTTCGTATCTATGTTCTGCATGAGCAATTTGTCCACTCTTGACGTTCAGATGATTGAAATTTAATTTTTTTGAGGGGGGGGGGGGGGGGGGGGGGGG